CATTTTTATTTTTGTTGTTGGTACTGTTTTTGGTTCAATTCTTGGGTTGATTGATACTTCAGTATTGATTATTGTAAGTATCTTTGTTGCTTGTATTTAGAACTTTTATGAAATGATTGTTTCTCAGAAGTGTCTTCCAGATATATCTGGCCTTTAGGTTTTGAGTCTCTAATGACTCTTAGGCCATCACCTTTTCAGTATACCAGGAAGGACAACTGATTCAATCAATCACAACACCTTAGCCCAAGTGATACAATCAGCAACAACAATAGCATCAAGCACAGTTTAGAAAATGACAATTTGTGGTACTTATTAATCTACTACATTTAGACATGTTAATTAAATCAAAATTGAGGACCAGCCCAAAATATGTCTGTAGTGAATAAACTCTTCAGTATAGCAATTTTACCCTTCCGGATGGGGACTTAGAAGGAGTTGGGGAGGGAGGGATACATATGTATGATAGGGAAAGGTTAGAAGTGAGGCCAGAGGGCAGAGGAAGATCACACAAACTCTAGGAAGCTGTTGAAGAGAAAACAGAATGAAAGAACAAAATCAGAACAACCTAACAGCAATAGGGAGGCTAGAAACTGTATTCACTTTCCTTTAAAACTAATGGCAGTCGGGCCGGGGATTTAGCTCAGTGGTTCTGCCACCTGCCTCAAAAGCGCAAGGTCCCGAGTTCAATCCCCAGTACCAAAACACACACACACACACACACACACACACACACACACAAACTAATGACAATCGAGAGAAGGAAAAATAAAAGAAAAAGTAAGAAAAAAAGAAATTCAAATTAGGACAGGAACAGGAATAAAAAGGGAGAGAAATGAAGAACAAGGTGGGAGAGAGAGAGCAAGAGAGAATAGAAAGAAAAGAAAAAAAGAAAAGAGAAAAAAGGGAAAAATTTGAAAAGAGAAAAGAATAGATAAAAATTAGAAAAAATATTAAAAACAAGAGAAAAATTACTTTGAAGATAAAAAACTAAAATAAAGGGCCTCCTTTAGGGTGTGTCTCTGCTGTCATTATAGTGTGCAGATTTAAGTCAAGTAGTCTCAGCAAGCCAGCAGCTGTCCCCTGAGGTTCAGGCTGATTTCTGCCTGCAAGGCCTAGGTTGAGATCTCTGAACTCCTGCTGGGTTGAATGCTGCAAGGTTCTACTAGGTTCTGCTGCAGGTTCCAGCTGCCCTCCCCCTGAAGATAGTCCAGGTTCCAATGGGAGGTGATGATCCCTCCAACTTACCAACTACGGTAGTCTGGTGTGCCTTTATTGCAGAGATTTTCTTCACTTTTCCAGTGGACTTCCGTTTTCATCTAGGAGCCTCAGAGAGGCCCTCTTTCTCTCGTTCACTTCTGTTCTATTTTCTGGAGCTCAGATCAATGTCTTTTCTGACTTACTGCTCCTCTGTGGTGTGGATCCAAGTGCTGGGTTGGCCCAGTGGCCAGAGTTGGGGCAGGGCCGCATTGGCACCTGTGCTCCTCTGAGCCGAAGGGGCAGGGCCACCAGATGTCCCGCGTGCTGCTCTGGACCTGCGCTCCTCTCCAGATATTTCTTAATGCATAACAACCTACCCCCAAATTGACAGGTGAATGGATAAAGAAAATGAATTTATATACAGTGATATACTACTCTGCCATAAAGAAGGATAAACTTGGGCTGAGGATTTAGCTCAGTGGTTTCACCGCCTGCTGCGCAAGTACAAGGACCCGAGTTCAATCCCTGGTACCAAAAACAAAAAAAAAAAAAAAAGGAAGGATAAACTTGAGTCATTTGTAGGAAAATGGATGTACCTTGAGGCCATAATGGTAAGTGAAATAAATCAGACACGCAAGCTTAAGTATTGCATGTTTTCTTTTATATGAGAAATCCAAAATATAAATAAGGAACAAAATAAAAGATAGATAATAGGGAGATAGATCTTTTGTGTAAGGAAAGGGGACCAAGAAATGGAGAGAGAGAGGAAAGGAGAGGGGAACAGAATAAAAAAAGAAGTGAGATGCACCTGTATCAGCTTCCCCTGAGGGATACGGTGGGTGTGTATTAGTAAATAATGAAAATTGAACAAAAAAATAAAAAAGTTTAAGCAACTTCTTCCAGTTTGCAAATGGACTCAGGCAGAGTTCAGATACTTTCCCCACATGGTACCATCTTAAAAAACAAAACTATTTTATGATTTCTCACAATTCTGTGGTTGAAAAAGGCTTTTTTTTTTTTAAGCTGTGAGGCCATTTTTATTGTCAGTAAGAGAGAGCAACACTTTAGAGATGATAGCTAAAAAAGAAGGTGGGTGGTTGCATTAAAAAATGTACAGTATAAAACTGTTAACTAGAAATAATAATTAAAAGCTTTTCTGTTCTGCTAAGTGCTAGGACTTTAGACAATGAAATAAAAACACAGCAACTTATACCTAAGAAACTGGATTTTGAAAAGATTGCCTAGGTTGGTGGGGAGAGCATACAAGGAACTTGCTGACTCCTCTTCAGTCCAAGAAGCCAGGGTGGGGCTTCTTTATCCGCTGGGTCATCTACCACCCCGAGGCTACAACAGGTGATGCCAGGCTTTATGTCACCAAATTCTAGGACTCAGTCACCCCTCCGTCTCTTCTAGGTGAGGACAACTTATAAGGGCAGTTTCTCTATTCTTTGAGGCGCTGATGTTGTAGCCATGCTTCTCTCCTGGAAATGTTCTTCCCTGGCAGTCCTCATGTAGTTCTGCTCTGCAGCATCTTACAGGTCAGTGGACAGGAAATCTGGGATCTGCTTGCCTTCTTCAGGGGAGAAAAAGGCTTTTTGAATGGTTCATCTGTTGGTCTTTCTTGAATTTGTTCATTGGTGGCTGGATCCAGAAATCCCTAGGATGGCCCAGTCATACGCTGTCAGCTGATTGTTGTGTGAGTACTCAGCTGGGTCTCGTTCTTTTCCTCTGGGCCTGTGCTTGTGTGTGGTTGGCTTCTGACAGCATAGTGCCTAGGTCCTAAGAGGGAGTGCAACAAGAAGGCTAAG